TCAGTGAGTCCTAAGTTCAATCCTGACCCCCCGTCACTCTACATATATCTCATTTTGTAAGAGATTGATCGAAGAATCACGGTTAAAAAAATACAGATCTTAAGACTGTATTAAATACAAGGATGTGAAGAAAGATACAAATCTATATCTATGTATATCTATATCATAGCGAAAATAGACATATCTATTTTCGAATCTATATTAGGCCTAAGAACCTGAAGGAAGATAGATCCTGGAGCTACATTAAGCCTGGAATCCGAAAGAGGGAGAGGTTAAGCAGTCTCATAAAGCTCGTTAGGGACTGACTAGGGACTGACAATCTGACACAGGAATCACAGAAGAACTTTTGAAATCTAGATGATGTTTAAGGACTGATATATAGTCCTACTTGCTTTCACTATTATTACTATTATTACCATAATAAATAAATATAAAAACCTATAATTATACACGCGTACAATTATAGCAATCAAATTCTCTCTTAATTAAATTAATCTCAAAGACGTCAAGATTTTTTTACTTCTTTGATCAAAATACCATGTTTTTAATGATGCAAAGTAATTAAGTAAATGATATAAATAAAAGTACCGATAATTTACAAAATAACGTAATCAGAAAAGTAACGTAATTCTCCTCTTATCGGTAAAAAGCCTCAAATAACTTTCTTTCGCGATAAAATAACTGTATTTCCGCGTGGAAATAAAATCCAAACCCTTTAGCGTAAAGAGTTAATGAAACATTTAGCGCGCCGATAATTCTAAAGCATTGTGAGTAATTGAGCGTGACTGTATTATAACACTGTGTAATACGGAGTCACGCGATATATCAAAACACGCAAAAAAATATACGACGTACTATTAATAATGCTTCATTTAAGATCCACCGTGATACTTTATTGTAGCTTCTAGAAATGTATTTATGAATTGAATAAAATTTCTAATTAAAAAATACATCAAAGCTATTATTAGCTTTCTTTGTTCTTTCCAACCCTTTCTTTCGCTTATTTTCTCTTCCGAAAGATATTTTCAATCAATCGATTTTGTGTACGGCGAAAATGAGATAAAATGTAAGGAGAAGTTAGTTTTTCAATTTGAAAAGTTTTGTTTAATTTAAAACATTTGTTAAATTGTATTTCATATATAGAAATCAATGTTAGATGATTTCTAAACGCAATCACTGGCCATTTCTACATATCTAATAATATGATATATTTCTTTTTTTCAGTTTTGGTCAGCCTACGTTCCTTGCGGTGCCGCTCAGTTAAATGCAGTTCAACTCTCATTGGAACAGATTGACGTAATTCGTCGACTCGCCGAAATGAATGCTCAACATTTAACCCTGGTTACCTCCGTCAAAGGTAAGTGTGTACACACATTGGTGTATATTCTCAACGAAAAAAAAACAAAATTTAATAACAATATTTAATACTGTTATTAAATTAACATTTAATAACTATTGTTTAATAACAATATATTTCATACTGTTATTAAATTAATAAGATTATTTTTTAGTAGTTAAACTGCTGTTAATTAATACTGGTGATATATTATTCTTTCTATGTACAATTTTTTATCATATTATGTGAATAATATGCGTAACAATAATTTTCCTTCATAGATATCAGCTATTTCTTCCTTTTTCTTTAATACAAAAAATTGCAATTCGATTTTAGACAATCTAATATTTGCGCTATTTAGTTTTTATTATCAATTTAAAGACGTAAAATTATATCCTTTTTGCATCTTTGTAAGCATTTGGTAACTACAATTACGTATAATTAACCAATTAATAAATGAAAATGAGTTATGAGCAAATATTATCTAATAATATACGAACAAAATGTGTTAAGTAACGCAAGTGAAAAGTGAAGATCATTGAGTTGAGTATAAGAAATGTCAACAATAGCAAAGCGCGTACAATGAATATGAATCTCTAAAGTATTATCGAATGAAAGAATCTCCGTTGTGTCATCAGGAGCAATTCAGTTTATTTGAACTGAACCTTTTGTAACTGAAAGAATTCTCGTGACCGCCATATTATGTTATTAAATGTAACACGCTAACCGGTAGTACCAATAGATATGAAAGCGGTGGTCTCAGAGAAACTTTCTTATCGGGACGATTCAAGAGGATAAAGGACCGCTATTAATTGCTCGACTTCTCCGAAGTTGAAGAGGAAAGTCGTTATTGGATTCGATTCGATGGCGTAACTTAGGTATTGTAGAAGATTTATCAGCAGTAGACAAAAGTATTATGCTATCGCCCATGCCAGAATCCACGGAGGGTCCTTACTAATTCACGAAATATCAGAGACAATATTTGACTTAATAAGAATATTAAGTCAATATAAATAATTAGAAGAATTACGAGCCCTTGGAGATTGGAAGTTACTTGTTTCTCTGCTTTGGTACCGCATTATGACTTATATATGGATTGTAATATCCACTACATTTTTCTTTTTAACGCTTGACTCACAAAATTTTGACTAAATAAAAGTAAAAAAGAAAAATGAGATTACCAGTGTATCAATCACATTGATCGGATTCAATGTTCTACAATTAAAAATTTCAATAAACCACACATTTTTTTAAGAAAGAGTGAAAACACAGGAGTATCCGATATGTACAACATTTTTAAATCTACTAATTAACTTATATAATATTGTATTTTTGATCTGAGAATCCGACAACTTATGTAACATTATAATTTTTAATTTGTTTTAACATTGAGACCCGATCGGCGTCGAAACGTTTGTTTTTGTATTTCTTTATATTTAGTTCTGAATATTGAATGTTCTTAATTTATTTTTAACTGGCTCGTAGCCCTTCTAATTATTTATATTGATTTATTCTAAGTGAGCTATATTATTAATTTATATAAGAATATTAAGATTAGAAGAAATAATACCTGTTGGATCTATGACGGACCTTTACCACTTAATTCGTGCTTCGAACTGATCTGAGCTAATTCCCAAGCAGAACAACAAGTCACGATATCGTCAAAGTAACGATAAAATAAATTATGATTGATCGAAAAATGACTTTTAATAATCACTTTAGTGCCACTTTAATGTCATGATGACTTGTATTCTGTTTAAATACCAACTAATTTGTTATCATTTTAATGTTATGGATATTTAATTACTTAATGTATGTAATAATTAATTATCATCACATTTGCATTGCACGCACATTAAAAATATTTTATATAAAATAGAAGAAGATAGCGTAAAGTTTAAACATCATATAGTATTTTTAAAAACATTGTTACAAACCATTAGATATATCAAAAGTTTATCTCAATACAGTAAAAGTTAAAAAAAAGTTAAAAAGATTACGAATGTTGAATGCAAATTTTTTTTATTTAGCAAACGTCCATTAGTGCTGATGATTGTTGAGCCACCACTATTTTTAACAAAAACTCATTTAAGTTAAAAATTGATGGGTCAATTTATCGTCTGTTAACGAGAATTTATAGAACGTTAGTGAAATCGACTAATGGAGAATAAATTTCATCGATATGCAATAGCTACTTTTACAATGTACCTATAGAGAAAAAAGAGAAAATATGCCGAGGCAACACCGATGTTAAAATAAAGAACGAACTGCCTGAAAGAAAAGAAAATACCAAACAGGAGAGGATAGTGGGAAGGATATACGAAAGCTTGTGAAAGTTTTTGCAACAAGTAACTCACTTCGGAAACCCGACTGCCATTTTCATAAGCTCGTTGAAATCGAATCGAGGTTACGCGAGAAAGAGATAAGAACATAATATTTTACGTAAGCTTTTGCAAATATTGCTGTATAAATAACTAAAAAACAATTAAAAATTAATGAATGGTAATTAGCGAATAGTTCGAGCGATGCAAATATAATACATTGTATAATAAAAGGCGTACAATTTAATTTGGACGGTAGTTGACTTTTTATCACAAAGAAATCTTATCTTCATATAATTTTAATTTAAACTTTTGTCAAAATATCTCACGTTAAAAACTAAATAATCTTTACAGTTGATAAGTTACAGTTGATCTTCCGACAAAGAAAACTTTGATTCTTTCCCAACGAATACGCTTATGCAAACGGACAATTGATTAGACACATATGCGAAATCAAGTTACGCACGCCGTTGAAATATGAAAAGGTTTATGAAGAGCAAGTGAAGAAATGGGACTGGCACTGCTTCGCAACGAAAGTCTCGCAATGGAACTTACCGCGAGTAACTCGGTCCGGAAAGCTGTCAGCCATTTTCATAAGCTCGAGAAACTTCGCCAAGTGGGAAGTGGAAACGAGGTCGTGGCATAAAGAAGGTAAAAGGTGGAAAAGCCAGCGGCTCGTGCACGCAAACCTGTCCCACAACAGTGTCTGAAACAGACAAAAAACTCATTTCAAAATATATCGCGTTCAATTTGACGAACCAAGAAAACACTATTAATTAACTCTAATCAGTATTCACTCTTCGAAATTTCTGTAACTGTAAGTATTCGCGAGTCCAGTGCATTTTAAATTAATCGTATCGTTGTTTAAAGTTATGTAAATGATTTTTTTCATTTTGAGGATCAAAATTCGAAGAATAAGGTTAGATAATTTAAAATTGTGTAAGGTTGTGAAAAACATTTAAACAATTTTTCATAATAGTTGAAAAAAATATCTACATCCATGAACTTGCGAATACGATTAGGGTTAAAAAAAATTAACTAGTAGAATATATTTAATAGTGTACTCTGATTTCTTTTAGCTCATATAGGGAAAAAATATGTATATATAACAGCGAAACAAGTATTATACGTATAAAGTTTATACAATCAATAGAAAAACAAAATCTTGATAACAACATAAATTAATTATTTACAATAATTGTTATAATAATTAATTTATTTTATGTAATTAATTATTTACAATAATTAATTGTATAAAATAAATTGATTATTTACAGTAATTGTCTTAATTTAGTCCTAAATTTATTTCTTTAATAGTAAATTATGTTTTAACATCATTTTCGTATAATACAACTTGTGAAATCGTTCTTAAATATAATATTACATTATATTCCTTGAAAATATCGGATGAATTTTAGATGTTAATATATTGTATAATAATAAGCTTACTATAAAATATAGTATCAATTAATATCAAAACGGGGACATTATTAAAGTAGAGGACATATTCATTTCGTTTTATTTTTTGGGAAAAGGCAAGCTGCTTCCGAGCGAGTTTCGTTCAAAGCAGCAAAGGTAGAGAACAGTTACAAGAGAAGATTACAGCTTTTTAATTTTCGAGATCAGTGGCGCGTTTCTCTGAAGAGAATATGCGGCTTTCTTGTATCAAGATAAAAGGTATTAAATCCTATTAAATGCTATAAAACGCTTTAGCTTATCGTAGTATGGCATGATAAAAGGATGAACCAAGCGAGCGCGTAAAAACTTTAGGTTAATATCAATTTATTATTGCAGTTTTTCTTTGTAATTATTCAATGTTTTTTAATTATAATCCCATATCCTCGGATTTATTTTATATAAAAATTTATAGCCATCACGATCCACAAATTCAATTAAATTTTAATTACATTGACCAGCACTAATAACAATCAATAACTTGCGCAAAGAAATAAACAAAATATCGTAAATAGTATGGGTATAGCAATAAAAAATGCGATGTGAGAACTTTTATTGATGAAAGAATGGAAAGCAACAGGATGATAAAAGTTTATGAATCTGACGAATCCACATCATTAATCCTGAGGTTAGAGAGAGTATCTCGTAAAGATCGTAAATTCCTAAGAGGAGATTCCTGCAGAGATCATTTTGAGATGAAAATCCTAATATCAAAATATCAAGGCTATAATAATTTTTTATAATAAATATTGATCATTAGAAATATCAATAATATTATCTTTGCATACGTAATCTTTACATCGATATTAAAAAGAGATGAAAATGAGTTTCCACTTTTATAATATTTTGCGTTGTATCGCATCTGAATACGCAAATTTTTGACAATACGATTCGCTAACTTTAAATGCTTATAATTCGAAAACCATTATATCCTCGACATTTTAATATTAAAATAAATTTTAGTATTAAAATGACCTTAAAAATCTACCCTTAAGCATTTTTACGTCTTTACCGGACATCCTGTAGATATAAAATTTTATATACGTATATTTTTACTATTGCAACAAAGCGGATTTAAAATCCATGATATGCAGTTAAATAAATAACTCGTGCAAATTGACATATTCGATATAAAGTACGATAAATCAGAAGGCTTTAATATCCCACCACGCCGTCTCGGTGGTCTGAAAGTTTCAATGAGACGATCGACAGCACTCCTGAAAGCACTTCCGAAAGCGGATCTGAAAGCCGATTTTTACCGATCTTTTCATTCATTCCCGTGACCCGCCTAAAGCGCGACCGACTTTCCGAGATTCCGTCCGATCTGGTCTGACCCGACGAAGGTCGTAAATAATCTATGAACACCATAATTCCACGATCCCGAGGCCCCGCTTAATCTCATAAAGTGTCACTTTAATCTCGCTCGGGGAACAAAAAGAGAAAAATTATAAGACTCGCGCCGACGGGGTGGGCACGACGAAAAAACGGATGAAACTTCGTTGATTCACGGAAGAAGCTGTAATTCGGCCGAGAGCAAAGTTCACCGAAGATGATTCAAAGTTCCGCGGTAAGATGAGCCTCAAATAACTCCGTGTACCTACTTGGGTGTTTCCCAAGGTTTAAATATTCTGAGTTTGGCAAGTTCATCGTGGATAGTACTCTACTACAGTTTTCAATTTTATGTTTACAACGTTAAATTGCTAAAACGTAATGAAACTATAATTTTAAGAAGAGATTTAAAGAGAAACTATAATTTTAAGAAGAATTTTAAAGAGAATGTGATACACACACATCGAGAGTTTTTTTTATTAAATCATAATATATTCCTACGTATGTGTAGGTCTCATCGAGGCGCACAGAGAAGGCAAGATCGCAAGTCTAATCGGAGTAGAAGGTGGCCATTCCTTGGGGAATTCCTTGGGTGTCCTCAGGACGTTTTACGGTCTGGGAGCGCGATATCTTACTCTGACACATGCGTGTGACACCTCCTGGTGAGTATAAATTACGAGGGAGCGCATAAGAACCTGTCTTGAGAATAATTAATTTATCGCGATTTAGAGCTCAATAAGAAGAATAACAGGCTCATAATAAACCGATTATGCGGCAAAAAATTAACGATACAAGAAAGAGCATTGTAATTGAATTTAATCACGAGTAGAAATAAAAAAGTAATAATAAAAGCTAATATATTCTGGTAGTTTCTCATGTTATATATAAATTACAGTTAATAATAGATTACGGCACTTTATAAGGTTGACATTAATTAATTTAAAATAAAAGTAACAATCTTATACATGTTACATTATTCTGTGAATCAATTTCCTTTTAAATTATAGACAGAATTAACCATTCTGTCGATTTAATCGATTTAATTAATTAAACAGTGTTTTATAAAAGATTAATTATTCCCTACTAAAATATTAATTCGCCATAAAATTCACTTTAATTTTCGATGTTACGTTCCTCGCATCAATGCACACGATTCGTTGAAGTTTGAAGATTGCACTCTCTCATTCAAGATCAAGATTCTGAGGGATGTTTCGTTTTTTCGCCATCGTTCTTGTCACGCCTTCTCTTACCCTCAAGAAGTTTCTCCGTGTACAAGCCGCTCCTTCATCGAACATCCGATTCTTTTTTTACTCGAGACTCGTTGTACTTCGTATCACGATCCACTCTTAGAGGCAAACCAATTCCACGGTTGATCGGCTTAACCGAGAGCCGAAATAGCCTGAAATCTGGACGCTCAGAAGTTCTTTTTGGTAATTTCGAAAGTACCCCAAAGCCACTGCTTATTTTTCGGCGCGCCTGAAAAAGAAACTTTACAGCAAAGGAGGAGTTCTACTTGTAGAGAGAAAGAGAGTAGAATAGCACCTCTTATCAGAAAGAATACAGAAGTTAACTTTTACAATTTAATCTCCTTAATCAATTACTGTAAGAGACGATTCTTTAAATTATTCTAACTCCATTTTCCAATTTTGCTGACTTTGTCTGACATTGTCCGTTTTCGAGAGAAATTTACTGCATCATTTATTCATGCCGAAGAATACATTTGGTATATCTAGCTTAGTATTATGATAAAAATTTAAAACAGTACGCTCCCATTCTTATTTATGTTTCTTTACATATATCACTACTACGAACTTATTGCTTATTTGTCACAATTTTTTAACCTAAATAATTCCACGTTTTTTTGCGATAATATATTATATAAATATAAATTATCTAAAAAATTCATTCAATATTATTAAAATTAAAAAATATAAAATTGTATATTTTATCATTGAAAATTTTGTCTTTATTTTTATTCTATATATTAGTTTGTTATGATAAGCTCACTTTTTGCGAGACGTACAATGGAATAGAACAGAAACAGAAACGCTTTTCTTCCTCTATCTCAAACATCGATCTTTAACCTAAGGTTTATGCATCCCTTGTGATGCTGCGTGCCGTGTGGAGTTGTAAATAAAGTCCCTGCTTTTATGCGTCCGTTCGATCCGGGTCACATGAACCGCGACAAGTTGCGTTTTCACGGAAAATCCAACATTGTATTATTTGCGAGCTGCAAGTTACGCGGGGTCATAAAACAAAGCTACACGCGCACGAAACAGCGACATTCGGCTCCCGTGCGATTCCACAGTCGTTTAATTACCACGAGGCCATGGTCATTTACGGAGATCTTTCTCGTCGAAAGGAAATTTTATTCCCGACCAACGAAAAATTTTCGCTCGACTTTTCTATCCTCTCAAACTTCGCGAGGCTTCTCCCTTTTTTTCATTTTTTTTTTTTTTAGCATAATAATATTCATAATCTGAAAACTAAAGTTTGGAACATTCTAGTTATTTTCTTTTTTCCTCACGAAACTTGAGAACGATCATTAGATTGCGATGCTGAAGTTGTCGAGATTGTCAACTGCGTGCATCGACCGCGTGTACTCGTATATTACTGCCCACTATATCTTTTATGAGCGCGAGGAATCATGCTCGAACCGTAATAATCTCACTCTGTGTTATCTGTCACGCGAAATAGGATTTACGTCTCGAGCAGAGCGACGCTAGATGCCTCGGTAGCTTTCGAGATGTAAATTACGACGGTGACCGCCAATGTTACTAACTCTAACGCCGCTTTAAGGTCGAAGTATTATACGACAATGGGCACCGACCTGGTTCACCGATGCTCTTTCCGATGTTCGCCTGCTTTATGTCTCCCTCGACGCCGCCCGCGACGCTTACCGTAGTAAATAAGAATCGGGAGTCACGTCGAGCCCCACCGACGTGCAAATCTTCTTTCAAATATAGTACATATTTTGCCCTTCTTCCTAAAATTACGCCAATGTCGTTTTACGATACACACGACACAGGAAGTAATCTTTTCTCAGCATCAAATCGAATACCGTCGGAATTAAGGAAAAGAACGAGAGCAAAGTCTTCATTCCAAAAATAGATGTGAAATTTAATTTCAACAAATAATAATTGTAATGACACATTTGAAATTAAGACACTTTGTACTGTTGCCATCAACGTCGATTCTTAGTTAAATTATTTCAAGTTAAATTATTTTTAGATTTTGTTAAATTTTTATAATTAGATTTTCTAAAATTAATGCTTTGTTTTAAATTATTTATTTAACTAAATTCTATTTATCAAAATTAAATCCAAGTAATCCTTTTCAGGAATTTTGTGCCCCCATAACATGTAACGTCATAAATATATCGTAATAAGAAGAACTAGGGACAACGTCTAATTTTTTTATAATAAAAGTTATAATAAGTAACGAGAATTATAAAGGAACAGATGACTTGGAACATTCAGAAAAGTGTACGTCTATGAAAGAGAAGCCTACCATACAGAGAATATCTGAGGAAAACTCGTCGTAAAAATGCGGTTTCATCTCTGCGGCCTGAGATTTCCGGCATCCATGAGGAAAAGCGTGCTTTTATTGGGACAATATCCGAATTGCTTTTGGACGTGTACCCGAGGCTTAATGTCAGCCTCCGACTCTATTCTCTCTCTTTCTCTTTCATCTCTCTTGGTCTCTGTCGCATGTCTTGCCTCTTCTCCTTGGGGACGCGAGATTGTTGGACCCGATTGAATTTTCTACAGTTCTAGATGACGATGCCGAATCATCTCCTGGCGTTTCCACTGGAAACGAGAATTGACCGTGAAGAATTATCGGATTCTCGATAGCATTCGCGCCTTCGTATTACGTGTATCTTGATCTTCCTACTTTTATTTCTTCGATATTTGATATATGTAATTTTATTAAACAGACAGAAACAACGCAAAATATATTCAATCGACTCAAATCTTAATAGCTTCTCTGGAAAATTTAAAGATGCATACTTCTTTACAAAAATTAAATTTATGCAAATGTTTAGTTATGAAAGTTATTAAATGTTAAAAGTGTAAAAAGTTGAACAAGATATTGAACAAGATCTCGCAATTAATTGAAAATAATATTTATTTTAATAGATACTTAGTTATAATTACTAAGATATTTACCTGTGAAAGATTATGAAACTGCGATGAATAATAATTTCTTATAAAATTCATTGAGAAAATATCAAATTTATATTCAGGAAAAATCTACTATAAAAATAATACTTAAAAATTATACAGCTTCGTAGTTATTAGTCATAACATATTTGCGATCTCGAAACACAGTTTTTGTATAAATACTTCAAAACTTTTCTTTAGTCAACAATTAATTTATATCTAACAGATAGCAAGAATTAACCGTAATAAATGGATAAATGGAAACACGCGTTACTTCCGAAAAGTTTCATGGAACTCAAATGAGCTTCGAATTGCTTTAACGATTCTAAAGGCTATATGATAACGAAGTGTGCAACCAGAAAGCGCGCGTGGAGTTTATGTACATTTGACCTAAATTACTTGACCCAACGCTTCTCAAATGTGCCTCCTCAAATACAAATAGAAAGGAGTCGTTTCCAACGTGTGTCTAAATCAAAACTAAGAATAGAAAAATCTAATACAAATTTTACGGCCAATTTTTTAATGTCAGAATCACTTCCGATGAAAAAAAATTATATCACACGCACATACAAAATTAAATATGGAATTTTGTCATAAAAACTAAAAATATTAAAACTGAAGATTGTCTTCTCGGGTTTCGGACAAACGCAAACTCCATTAAAGAAACTTATTACTAATACACTTAATATTCTGTATAATATCAAAAAAATAAATATCTGTATGATATCAAATAAATAATATTCTGTATAATATCAAATAAATAAATTTAGTAAAACAGAGTAAATCAAGTGACTAATTTTTTTATTAATGATGTACACGTTTTTATGATTGACGATTTGCTGTCATTGGAAATTCATTTTATTTCACATAATAATAAATGGATCATGATAAAAATGTACGCCTAATAAATACGTATGAAAGATAACGTGATATTTCAGAACATATTATTCGTTCTCGTCTGAAACTCGTCTGAGGGGACAGAAAGCAAGCGCGAGCACCCAGTACGACCGCTGGATTTTCACAGCGAGACTCGCAAACTAACGTTCTAACAGACATTTTCTTGGCAGGGCAGTCTGTTCTGTTGGCGAGACGAACAACACTCAGGACTCCACGCCGGGCCTCAGCGAATTTGGGAAAGTGAGTCAACATTTACATTGTACGCGCTCCACTGCGGATTTACCTTTTTCAGTAGTGAACAGGGAAATATCGTGTTCGCAAAAAAAAAATGTCCGCGTGTACATACATGCTTCCAAAAGAGTTTCCGTTTTATGACCGCGGACGGAGTTGTCCGACATTCTGCAGAAAAATAATACTGTAGACTTCCGGCCAAGATGCGTCCCAGTATTATTCCGCGAAACGACCGTACGACAGTTTAGATTATAATTTCGTTACTCTGCGGATATACGCGAATATTGCATTAAACATTTTCATCTTTTTTTTTTTACGGAAATAAAATGCTTCTTCAATAAATAATAATATCAATATGGAATCAGAGAGAGCATTCCATGTTGTTTCTATATTTGCATGTACATTATTACAAGTTCACTCTAAAAAATATAGGTGTGGATTTAACACTATGAGATATCTAATAATATTTATATAATTCTTATCATATATTGATGTTAATATAAATATCAACATATGGATTTAACATGATTTAAAACTCATAGTGTTATTTGCTAACAGATTTAAATGCTAAATTTTGTCCATTTTAATATTATCGTCCAAGTTTGGACGATATTACAAAAAATACTGAATGGGAAAACCTTTAGAGAGTGAATCTCACTCCAGAGAGTGAAATCTCACTCTTAAAGATTAAAAATTGAGCCACTATTTTTCAAGAGAGAAAGTGGCTCAATTTTCGCTCTTTATAGTGAAAGTCCACTCCAAACAATTTAGAGAATATTAAATATAATTCTTACCGTTGATATAATCACCAATATATTGTAGTATGTGTGAATTTAATCCCATAAGTTTTAAATCATAGTGTTAAATATCCATACTTATTGTTAGCGCTTATATCAACACCAAATTTAACACCATGATATTAAATGCGCACTCATATTTTTTGTAATATTGTTATTCAAATGGAAAAAGTTTAGCGTTTAAATCGCCTGTTAGCGAATGTATGAAATGCATAAATACATAAAATAATGCCTGCTAATTTCTATAACACTTCGCGCTTGTACGTTAAAATTTCCCACCGGCTTACCCTTCTGGAATATCTAAATAAACGAGACGTCACGACGGCACATTACATCAGGGACGTTCCCAATTTTCGTAGCGGGATTTAGATAGTAGCTTCACGATCTCGATGGCTGGAATTATTTTTCCACGACGTAACCGGGGAAATGATCGTCAACGAACGCGCGACTGATCGCGTCCGACCTACATTCCGTTTATCACTCCCGTCGCTCCGCCGCATTCATAAAATTATATCCCGACCCACTTTCGCGCGCGTAGAATTCGTCGAGGGATTTCGAGCGTTAACGCATAAGTTCGCCGATCTCGACGAGGCGAATTTCTGCCGTTCAGCGTCGCGTGATTCTCGTCCAAAAAATCGAAGGAAACGAATCCTCATCGGATAACTTCGCATTAATTGAGTTTTTGTCAAAATTCATAATCCTATGACAATGGCAGTTTTTGATTAAAAGAACAAATAAAGAAAGGAAACACTGCTGGTAGTAGACTCGAGAAGAAATAAGGAAGAAATAAACGGACGAGAAAAACGCGTAAGAACGTAAATCATATGAATCACCTACCGTTATCTCACATCCCTTGCAATGACTAAATTTTATATTAATAAATGACACAGATATCTTCCAAAGAAAAATTCTATGCGCAACGTTAAATGTTCTGCCATTTGTCATTGACGCTTGTCCGCATAAAGTGCTAATTATAGATATTCCATCTATAAATCGACAATTAAAAGTCTGAAATAATTCGCCGCCGCCTAGACGATCTAGATTTTTGCTATCTATATTTAGTTTATACGTTTTACTGCACATTACATTGGAAAAAGAAATTTTACTAAATTATTTAAAAATTTCGCCAAATATTGATTTGAAAATAATTCTGTTGTACCATTGAAATAATTACATAAACGCTCAAGTTAGTTGCTAAAAAATGTCAAGTGTAATCGTTGTAATTTTAATCATCACAATCAAGTTGTAAGAAAAAATTGTAAGAAAAATTAACGCTAAAATTGTTAGAAGCTATCCGGAATTTTAATGTGTAGTTTTAATTGTAATTTTAAATATTGAAGATGACCGCGAATGAAGATCGAAACATCTAATTCTGTTATTCTAATAAGAACCGAATGCGATAAAGATTAGTTTCGCAACAAGAACTAGCGTTGGCTTTTATGCTCCCTTCCTATATTGATTTATTCATAAAGCCTTTGTCATTTTATAAAATGTCAAACTTTTTACAGCATTGCTCATTATGTTTGACAGTTCAACAATTATTTTGGTGGTCCAACAAAACTATTTTCAAATATATATCTACTCTCTAAATCTGAATCAGTGGATAATCACTGATATCAGTGCCAAATATGCCACTGGTAATCAGTGAATTAAATGTGAGATTTCTAACCTAACTAATCTTGTTTTAGGTTTTTAATTCAATGAATATGATATTGGAAGATTGAAATTAACGTGCAAATATCAGTATTTTAGTTATATATGATGCTCAAACATTCTTCCTTTTTTTAGTTGAACTTCACTGATTATCGGTGCAAAGTAATGCCACTTGTTATGTTAATTAGTGACTATCCACTGATTCAGATTTAGAAAGTAGCTAAATTTTTAGTTTCAGCAAAACCGTTCTTTCCATCATGTATAATCAAAGGACTGCAACAGTAGACTAATCCAGATTTTGTAAAAATAGAAAAAATAAACTCTAAAGTTAAAGGGAAACAGTTGACCAACTCACATTTTTATAAAATTGCACATTTTTATAAGTCCTTCAATTTATTCTTTACTGCAGGAAATCGAAGAAAGAAAACTTAATTAATAAATATTGCCAATTCCGTTATAACGTTATTTCAGCATATATTCATTGTAACTGACTATCGAAAAACGGTAAATACGGCTGAGCCATGGTTACAATAAATTATTCGGAAAAAAGAATTTCCTGTACGCGCGATATCAACTGTGTTCTATTTTGTTTGCTACGCAAACGAAAAGTCGCATTGCCTAGCCGTGTCTCGATTGTCGCAGCACACCGCTGGCTATATTGAAACACCAACGGTACAAAAGTGTTATTGCTGCTAGCGGGCGAACATTTCACCACGAAATTCCGATAATCTACAAGTCCTGGAAGTAATATCGCTCCCTTCTTGCTCCTCCCCTCCGTCTGTGATACCAAAATATTTTTATCAAAAACAATAATCTACCTCGTATGCGTTAGTTTAGTTTTCTGTTGCAAGAAGAGAAATGTATCTCTCCGACTTTACGTTACTTACGAGACTCAGTAAACATCAATTAAGGATAAACATCAATGTTATAATTTCACACTCAAGTAACTCTGATGACGCGTAACGTACGTTACATTTATAACCGTTCGTTTCGAATGTCCGACGTTAAAACGTTTCAATCAAAGTGAATTTAATATCGCTCTTTTCCTTCGTCTATAATACCAAATTTTTTTTATCAGCAATAATTCATCTCGTGCGTTAGTTTGATTTTCTGTTCAAAGAAGAAAAATCTCTCCTCTTTCGCGTTTGATTTTCTGTTCAAACAAAAGAAATTTCTCCGCGTTATACGAGACCCTGTAAACGCTAAAAGTAACACAACATAAATGTTATGATTTCACACTCAATAATTGTTACGTATAACATACGTTGTACACAAACGTTGTATTACAATTATAATGTTGAATGCAAAATAAAATTATAACATTGATGTTATGTCACATTTAGTTGATGTTTACTGGCGAATCTCAACATATATACAGACAAACTTTTACAGCCGCGTAGACGACTTGAAATGTTGGTAATTAAAGAGAATCGTAAATGAGTGACTCATTATCTCGAAATCTAAGTCTCTCGGAACCGCCTGTTTATATATTCGGCAGCCGAAACGAAATTTCGCGTGTCGTTTCAAATGGAAACGTCGCGACGCCACGGCTCGTTCGGAAAGACAAATGGAAAATTATTTGAAAATTCCCCGCGCGTGCTCATGTCTCCTCGTACAGTTCAACCTCCCATAACGTCATGCCGCTGTAAATACCGGCATGCATTTCCGACGATGGACAGCATCATCCATCCCGCATTACGCCCCCGGTAAAAAGAGTTTGAAATAAATTTGCTATCGCTTGTATGATGCGCCTGTGTGTGGACGAAATGCGCAATTCGATGAATATTTTTGCCCTTGTACTCCCTTGTTCCTTCGGCCTGTTATTTCTATTGAACGACCTATATTTTCTGTTTCATCTGGTGCGCGAGTACGTACACAAACGCATCTTGAATCACCGTTAACGCGACGCGGTGATGTATCGTGAAATTATAGCGATAGCTCGCGGCGTTGTATTTGTCACGGTTGCAACATGGCATGGGGCTTGATTTTATTGCGGCTTTTGGATGTGACGATTAGTTTCGCCTAGTCCCGCCACGCGCTCGATATTCAGCAACAGGCATCGGATTACACCACGAAAATTCGCCGTTTCGTTCACCGCGCCGCGGGATACAGACTACAAAACTGGTTTCCTCCCTTTTAATTTTCGCAAAGAATTAAAACGATGTCGAATGCGGTAACAATTACCGCAATTAATTCGAAAATTTTCGCGATAAAATCTAAATTGATCAAAAAATTTCACGAGTATTATTATCAAGCAGAAATTAAAATTTATACACGCCAGTTACATGCTAAAAATCACTGAAATAATATCTCTTTTTATTATATAATAAAATTTTTGCGATATAATTATTTGCAGCATAATTCTTAATGGCTTTATTTGGAGTTCGCAAGTCGTTTGTATATCATGCCTTTTTTCTCTTTCGTAAAATTATTTTTTGCACTAAAAACAACAAAAGAACATTTGCAATACTTAGGTATGCAATTTGTTAATAATTAAATTTACGTGTTAACAACCGTATTGGCTTTAATTAATAATCTTAGTTTTATTTTATTGATTTAATGTTAAAGCCTAATTTTTTATTTCAATTTTGTTTAATTTTTATTAATATACTACATCGCACGCAATAAAATTCACACGCAAAAAACGATTTCACTAAAGTATCTAAAACATTAGTTATATATACAGGGTGTCCCAGAATGACTGCCAAATATTTTATGCGTAGATAGAACGGAAAACTAAGTCGAAAAGTCCTCTACCATTTTGTAATTTTCGCAATAATTAACAAGATATTAATAACTAAAAATCGCCGAATATTTATTTTTAATAATTTTTTACTCCAAGTTACTATCCATT